TTGTAATATCAAAAGTATAGACCTTTGATGTTTTCATTGTTTCTTCGTGGGCCGAGCGGGTTTTGGCTTCCTTAGAGTCAATTTGAGTCAGTGCCTTGCAAATGTATGGCTTATCTATGATTATCTCGGCTGCATCCATGCTAACACATTCACCTTCGGCCGATGCATAGCTGACAGTAGGATTTTTGTAAATCGTCCCTCTGGACGGAGCTTTCGAGATCTTCTCTTCACGGAGCAAATAATCATACTGTTCAACATGCCGGGCTAGTTCATACATATCCCGAAAATTTGCCCCCAAGAATTTCTTTTTATATTCCACGTCAAGACCATTTAGAGCAAGCCTTACGAACTCGACTTCAGGGAGAGGTACTCGGCACCAATTCCTGGCTAATTTAAATCTGGTAAGATAATCCATTGGTGATTCATCGGATGCTTGAGCCATCATTGCTAGCGAAGATACTGACACTTCCATTCCTGGCTGATAAAACTGCTCATGAAATTTCTCGACCAACTCCTCCCAACTCTGGACAGAATTTGGTGAAAGGTTGATATACCAAGCAAATGCTGACCCTGTCAGCGAAAAATTGAACAGTCGCAGCTTATGAAAGTCACTATTGACTCTCCGCATTGTGTGGTGAAACGAGCCACATGTTCCAATGAGGATAAGGATGATTCTCCGGCGAAAAGGTTAAAATCCGGGATTTTGAAACCCCTAAGGTATTCGAACTGTTCCACATAAGCCGGATACGGATGTATAAATTTAGGGAACTTTGGCCCTTTCTTTATGGCCGAATCGATCATCCGTTGGACCTCAGTCATATCGACGGGTGTTGCTTCCACTCTCTGGTCGGATCCATCTGACCTACTGTTCGATCCTCCTCCTCTCTCCAAGTTAATTGGTTTGAGCCGAGCAGGGATTGACTCGGCCGGTGCATTTGGTAATAGATTATTTCTTGGCGGCAAATGCTGGGCAAGATCGAAAGTCCTACTGTCGCTGACCTTACTAACTAGTATTTCGAGTAACCTGGTTTGTGCCTCACTGGTATTGCGTATCACGTCATGAAGTTTATCGATTCCTCGACTAAACGTCTGTTCAACCATCTAAGATTGCTCGTCAAGCCGTTTTCGAAGAAACGACCTTGTTGGTGGATCAGATCCTTCGCCACCATCCTCGTCACAATCTTCTATTATCCCTTCATTGACAATGCAGGTGTTCCTGTCGGGGATTTCGAGACTGCGAAACTGACCGCCGAGGTTAACTTCCCTTTCTCGGCGAGTCGCGCTCGTGGACTCAAGTGTTACGGCGCTAATGGGATTCTGCGCCTGTGGCACACTGTGTCCTATATTCTGAATTGGTACATCGGCTGTTGATTTTCCCATAGCTGTTTTCTTTTTTATTGATCGTGTTTCAATTGGCATGAACTTCGTAGTTTAGCATTGGGTCCCACCGGGCGTGCCAAAATGTTGACCTTAAAAACTACTAAGCCTACGTGGCACGCATGCCGAGTAATTTATAAGCTAACTACGTCCTTCGGTGAATGCAGGGCGTGCCAACTCGTCGGCCAAGGAGTAAAATTTGTTGATGTTGCATTGGGTCGCGCTACTGACTTCTGTATTTTGTGATTGCGGCCGAGAAAGGAACACGTCTCGACCTCTTGGATTCTCGAGCCTGAAGACAAGGCTACTATTCTTACGAAGTTCACGAATCGAATTCGGCTTTCAATGTGCCGAATGTAATAACTGTAACACCTCACTTTGCCGAGAAGGCTGATGAGATGACCTCGACCAATAAGGATTCAGGAATCCTTCTCGACCGAGACTTGGATAGGTAATCAACCGTTCTCGCCGTAGTGCTGTTGATGCCAACGGAAGATGCTGCGAGACCGACTGACTCTATGGTGACAGAGCTATCTATGCTGACTTAAGATATCACCGGTTGCTTTCACAGTGATGTTGATGCCAACGGAAGATGTGTCAACGAAACGAGAATAAAAAAAATCTCAAAGTTGTTGAGAGAGTTTGCGCAGGGTAGTTTTGTGTTCAATTGCAGGGGGCTTGCACTATGTACAGCCTCTTCTATTTATAGCAACGGATACCCTCAAGGTCGAGTTAAAACCCTATTTGGACTAAGACTTCTTCTCCTGATCAAACACTAACTCGACCAATCCTATTTTCACTATGATTGTGAACCTAGTCCTTTATTGAACCGAATTCACTTCCGGGTTATTGGTCCTGCCGAGACTCCTTATTGCACCAGGACTGGACTTGTCTTGCGCCATGACCTAGCCGTCCTAGGTTTGGAGGCCCACGTACTGAACGATCCATAGCACCCATGTCGCAAGGCCTTTCGGGCCGAGAATGATTCTATACTTGGCCTAAACTGATATTTTGGGCCCAAACAGTTCTACAATCTTCACCCTAAACCATAAGGTTTTTATATTATTGACCAGAAACGGAAACGGTGCTTGTGCTTGCAGTTATCCATGACGTCCATAAGTACCGTAAAGTGTAAAACTTATGAGAAAACTCAGTGTTTTGTTGTACAGTCCATGCCAATTTTTTAGAGATGCATGCTATTGCTTATGACAATCGTTCACGTATGTAGATAATTGTCATTAATTTATATGTCGTGGGATTAAGTGATTATTTTTATAACATTGTGAGAAGTGAAGAATGTCCCACATCAGAAATCTTATAAAGAGTTGAACTTTTCTCTTGTTTATCAAATATTTTTTGGTGACATCTCGAATTTTTTCATGATATAAGACTAATTTTGCTCAACTTCACACGTGAGGAGGTGATACCGTGAAAGTATGTATTACATTTTCATGTATTTTATAGGGTCCTTTCCCTTTCCTTCTGAAAGTTCATTAATGGTTGGTAGGGTTTTGGTCTGGGGAGGTCGGTAGAGATTGGTAAAAACAATGAAACCTTGCAGTGCGCTACAGCAGGATAAAAGGGAAAACTCGAGCAAATCGTACAGGATATGTCGTACGTGCATCATGCACACACTGTATTATCAACACGAGATCGAGAGAGAGAAATGGCAGATTAATCAAATGGGGGCTCCTATTTCCAAGCTGCTTGTCTTTCTTGTTACTTGGCGTGGTGAAATATAGACGTTGGAGATTCGAATAGTAGGAGGAGTACTGCTCTTCGCACGTTGAGGTCTAGTCAGATTACTTCTTTTTTAACGCTAAAAACTGGCCAACTGCATCTTTCTTTTTAGTTGTTAGTTCTTAAGAAGAGACGAATTGGTGAAGATTAAATTCATACCAAAATGTATAAATATAATTATTTTTTGCTGTTAAGGTAAAGCGTTATCTGCTGCCAACCGCATCTTCACGTACAAAAGTTTTGTAACCGACTATTTCTAAAAGCACCCCAAAAGGAATAAACAAAACAAAAATGCTTTTAAAGGATTTGTTTACAGTTAACAAGAATATTCATATGAACTTTTATTATTACATAGATATGTGTAGCACTTATTTCCCTAGATATGTGGCACTTATTTCCCCTATTGTTTGGAATAATAATATATCAACAACGATTTCTTATTTAATTAGATTCTACAATCTATTGAAAACTTTACTTCTTTAAATATTTCCAAGGCCTTCACTACATGAGACTTAAATATATTTGTTGTGTTTGTATATCTCATCATAGACTTATAACGTACGTAATGAGAGATGTAGATATAATTAAAAAACAATTTTGGTTACATGCTTGGTTAAATATTCTAAGAACATGCAATCCTATACATATAGAAAATTTTCTATAACCATATCATGATAATCCGATGAGTCATGTGCCTTACACTTACTATTAAGCATCACACATTATACACCATATATACACAAAATGAGTGTGAGGAAAATATGTTATAACTTACCTAAAAAATAAAATTGACAACATTGATAAGGAATTAACTAGAGAAACACTAAGGGTACTTGTACATGTACTCATGTACGAATTAACAACTCTTAACGATTGAGTTAAACATTGTATATAGACGATTGACCGACCTCAAAAAGTCATACTGTGACTTATATAGTCCATAGTATGCACTCAAAAGAAAAAGTTATCAGTTTCGCACTAGTAGATTAATTTATGACACCATTCCCTTTAAGATTGAGTTCATAACTTCTAAGCTTATCTACACTTTTTCTCCTTTTAAGGATAAAAATTAGATTTGCAAGGATAGGATTAAGAAATTTCATTTATTAAAATAATTTAATTCTTTACCTTTTTAGGTCTAACAGGATTCTCTTCGGATCCTTTTGGTGAGGATCATTGAGATTCGTGAATCGGGTTCGTCCATTGTATATTTTACGATCAATTTTTGTCAAGTACTGTTTATGTTTAGTTTTAAATAATAATATTTAAAATAATTTCTAACCGCACGATGTACGATCAACGAACACGATTTACAGATCCTGAAAATCTTCACAAAGAGAATCCGACAATGATCCGGACTCTTTTTAGGTAATTTAGAATTCAGAGCAATTAATAAATTAGGTTGTGAATTGTAGTGGGAAGTTGGAGCAGTGTGGCAGGCAACGGTAACATCCAGTTTTGGAAGTTCCTTAAAGGGCAATCTCGGAATATGAAAACTTTAACGGAAACTTGTTAAAGACCTACCAAACTCAGAGAGGAGAAATATGAACTCAAAAGGCCAAAGCAAACTCACTAGTGGGCGCCAAGTGCACAATTTCTCCTCTTCACTGCTTTCCAAATCTCACACCTCAGCAGTGAACTCTCTCTCTCCTCTCTCTCTCTCTCTCTCTCTCTAGCCTCCATCATCCACTAGCTCTGTGTTTTTTTCATTGTATTGACTCTAATCTCTCTCTCTCTAAATTGGTACAAGTGAAATCCATTTCTGCATTCATTGAACAAAACCCAGAGAGGATTTCTCTCTCAAATCAGTGTTCTTTGATTCATTTGGTGAAAACCCTTTTGGGTTTAGAGGCAAATTAAGGGTCTTGAATTGGGCAGAAGCCATGGAAGCTCCAAAACCAGAAGAGATAAGCAGCCATCCAGCAATGGACCAACTCCAAGGCTTAGAGTACTGCATTGACTCAAATCCCTCTTGGGGTATGTTTATTTTTCATCTTTTCTCAAACCCAAGTCTCGACTTTTTTGTTGGGTTTTAAAATTTTCCCAACTTTGGTTCTCATTTTTTGTTTTGAAAACAGCGGAAGCAATTGCTTTGGGGTTCCAGCACTACATTTTGGCCTTGGGAACTGCTGTGATGATCCCCACATTCCTTGTTCCTTTCATGGGTGGTGATGATGTGAGTTGATTTGTACACCACTTCATTCAGTTCTTATATCTTTGTGGCCTTTGTTTTAATTGGAGATTAAATTCAAGTAGATTTTGTGTATTTTTAAATCTTGCTAATTTCTTAAGAAATAATTAATTGTCAATTTCACATAGCAAAAATGGTCAAGATTGAATTTTTTTTAATGTTTGTGTACTTTATATGGACTGATATGGGTGATGAATGTGCTCCTTATTTGACTTAATTGACCAGGGTGACAAAGTGAGAGTAGTGCAGACTCTCCTTTTTATTCAAGGAATCAACACACTTCTACAAACATTGTTTGGAACCCGATTGCCAACCGTGATTGGAGGGTCTTACGCATTCATGGTCCCGATAATATCCATAATTCATGATTCACGCTTGATGAAGGTTGAGGACAATCATGCGGTAAGTTCAATTTTTATCTCATTTTATGCATTTAATTTGTTTTTTCGCAACTTGAAATGTGTTCTTTTGTTGGCACTTGACAGAAACCAAGCTGAGTCTATTCTTTCCCCTGCACGAATGCAGAATAAAATGTTTTAGATTTGAATCATCGTGACTGCGAGCGAGCTTCTGCATAGATGATTACTTATGAATTTCTTATAGTTACTATGTAAATCCTTGCCCAAATTTCATTTAGATGCTAATTACTTAGTTTGAATTCCTTCATGATATTGTAGAAGAAAATTTCTCAAAACCACTTTAACAATCTACCTTACTACTAATCTGGTGGTCTATGAAACCTTTGGAAAAAAAAAAAACTAATGGCATTTCATGCATCTCTAGAGATTCCTTGACACCATGAGAGCAGTCCAAGGGGCTCTGATAGTAGCTTCAAGCATACAAATTATTCTGGGATATAGTCAAATTTGGGCCATTTGTTCCAGGTACAAATTTTATCACTGAATCAACAAGCAAGTTTGGATAATCTTCTTTATTTCATATTTAATGAGGGAATCTACATTTCCCCGTATAGGTTCTTCAGCCCGCTCGGAATGGTTCCAGTTATTTCCTTGGTGGGTTTTGGTCTGTTTGATAGAGGCTTCCCCCTGGTATAGTAAAAACTACCATTGCCATTATTCTCAATTATTAATTTTCTCAAGTTTTGAAAGATGAAAGCAATTCTCTTTCCGTTTCACTTATTCCAGTACCCTGACTTCACTTAATGCCTTTCAGGTTGGAAAGTGTGTGGAAATTGGCATTCCCATGCTTATCCTTTTTGTAGCTTTCTCTCAGGTATTACTAATGTTCCTTTCCTTATGTAATAACATATGATATGCTATGTTTAGTGTTTACGGAGAAAGGAAGGGCAGATGTTAGGAAAGTATCTTTGTGTAAAATAATTATAGTATGCCGGTTGAAATTCATGCAATCTTCTTATTTGTGTTCCTGTCGTGTAAACAGTACCTAAAGAACTTCCATGCAAGACAGCTACCAGTATTAGAACGATTTGCTCTTCTTATATCAATCACAGTGATATGGGCATATGCACACCTCTTGACCGCCAGTGGTGCATACAAACACCGGCCAGACATAACCCAAGTCAATTGCCGAACTGATAGGGCCAACCTCATTTCTTCTGCTCCATGGTTGGTACCAAAACTAGCTTTTAATTGGTTGCAGTCTGCGTAACTTGAAAAGAAATGGTTGAGCTATATTCACCCCCACCCAAATGATTCTGTAAAGTGCACTTGAAGAACTAAAAATAACGGCACCAGCGTAGCTCAACTTTTAAAAGCGTCTTTGTTTTACCTTCATTGTTCAAATTTCTTGTGCATTGAAATATGACATTGTCATAAGGGCACATTCAATTTGCGAATATTTACAACTCCTTCTAAACAGGATAAAAATACCTTATCCTCTTCAATGGGGTGCCCCAACCTTTGATGTTGGTCATGCTTTTGGAATGATGGCTGCCGTTCTTGTTTCATTGATCGAGGTATAACCCATACGGACTATACCACTCAAGAATAGATGAGATAAGTGAACGTAAACTAATACTTACTTTGACAGTCAACTGGAGCATACAAGGCTGCATCGCGTCTAGCAAGTGCCACAATACCTCCAGCTCATGTTCTCAGCCGTGGAATTGGCTGGCAGGGAATAGGAATCCTACTAAATGGACTCTTTGGGACGTTGTCAGGCTCAACAGTCTCTATGTAAGTATTTACGAGGCTTGCTCTTGAATACTTCGTGGAACAGGACTAATTTTTTCAGAAACAATACAGAGAAAATGTGGGGCTTCTTGGGAGCACTCGTGTTGGAAGCCGTAGGGTCATTCAAATCTCGGCCGGTTTTATGATATTCTTCTCCATGTTAGGTTAGTTCTGGACAAACATATGATTTTTTTGTTGCCTAATCCCACACTTCCAATCGTCTTCCACTTTTTAACTCAAATCATAGTCTTGCAGGTAAATTTGGTGCTCTGTTCGCATCAATACCCTTCACCTTATTTGCTGCTGCATATTGTGTATTGTTTGGTCTTGTTGGTAAGGATCCAATTTTACTTTCACATTAATTTATAGATTTTATTGAGCAACTCATCTCAACCGTTTATCTGCATCTAATTGCCAATCTATTATGTGCTCTCAGCTTCGGTGGGGTTATCCTTTTTGCAATTCACAAACATGAACTCGACGAGGAACCTCTTTATTGTTGGTGTAGCTTTCTTCTTGGGTTTGTCTGTTCCCGAGTACTTCAGGGGTTACACTTTGAAGGCTTTCCATGGTCCTGCTCATACCAATGCCGGATGGGTGAGTTACCCTTCTTTAACCTCAAGAGTCTTTCTTATACGACGAAAAATTCTGATATACCATGTAAAAAAGAGAAGAATAATTCAAAATCGTTATTCAGTTTTGAGCCATATTTAAGGGTGGCTAGCCAACATTCTATTTCTTTGATGTGCAGTTCAACGATTTTCTGAATACCATCTTCTCCTCATCTCCAACTGTGGCATTGATTGTTGCCGTTTTCCTGGATAACACACTTGAGTACAAGGACAGTGCAAGAGACAGAGGAATGCCGTGGTGGGTCAAATTTCGGCAATTCAAAGGGGACAGCCGCAACGAGGAGTTTTACACTCTCCCCTTCAACCTTAACCGGTTCTTCCCTCCATCTTAAAGTAGCACAGTGATCAGTCCATGGCCCAAAATGATGTTTAGAGGAAAAACATCATTTCCAGATAGGGATCAGAACATACATGTTCTCTGAAATGCAGGGAAATGATGACAGTGCTTCTCTGCCCTATGTTTTCGTATTATATTTTGACTCGGATTATACGGGTTTAATCCAGTAAGTATAATTAGTCCAGTTTTGTATATTTTCGTATTATATTTTGACTCGGATTATACGGGTTTAATCCAGTAAGTTTAATTAGTCCAGTTTTTTTCATCCTTTCTCGGTGTAATTTTTGAAAGTCGTTAGTTTAACTTGCAGCTATGACAACATATGGTTAATGTTTGCAGAAGCATGTTATTTGAAGGAGAACCCTTAGAACTAATGCATGCAGCTGCCACACTTCATATACCATCGCCGGGAAGAAGATAAAATATAAAATGTTATATATGACAACAAAAAAATACAGTTATCACTGACTGATAAACATCGAAAGGGGTTGTTAGATCGATCGCAGTTAGCGAGATTTGCACATGCACTCTGGGCATCTTGGCTGCCGATAGATGCTTCGACCGGACCTCCTCACATGCACCTTTTGACCTTCGTCAATCATCTTTTTTACTCTGTCTTCAAAGCTGTTCCACCCTATACTATTCTCAGACAAAATTGCTGCTAGCCTCTTCTTGTTTGGCCGCAAAGTGGGAGCACGGCCAGCACCGTAGTAGGTCCGAAATCCAGACACTAGGGAGGATAGTTGGCTCCCAGAGTCAGTCATAGCAAACACATTGGCGGTTGCACAGGCAATGAAGTCTAATGCTGCTAACTGCACCCGAAATCACATTGTTATAATATGAAGGGTTTATTACAATGTACTAGTGAAAGTAACTCATTTACCTTAGAAGAGAAATTTTGAAAAGGTGCAAGTTCGCTCGGCGTGAGGAGAGTTTCCTTGGTGACCAAGTTAGGGTAGAGGCTGGTGAAGGAATTCATCCGGGAGCTTCCACCGTATATTTGAGAACCAGCTAGATAAATGTAGGTTCCATGCTTGAAACCTAAACCAGCAAGAACTAGTCCTGCTTCTTCTGGTGTCAATGGGCACCTCCCCAACTTTCTCAACTGTCTTGGAGAAACTGCGCTGCAAGTTTCGGCAGCACACAGAAAAAACATTGGTTAAACAAAAAATTGTCCGTCAAACAAAATTAGAAAAGTTGATCAAAAAGGCAATAGAAGAGAAATACTTTGAGTTCTTCAAGCGCTTAATGAGCAGCGGAAAATGGATTTCCCTGTAGGCTTGGAGTTCCTTTCGCTCACTTTCTCCACCTCCGAATTCACACAGGGAGTAGGCCACCATGTCAATCTCAAATCTCAAGTGTAGAGCGAGATATTTAGATGGGCCTCTTGCAGAACCATGTACTCTAGAGGGAGCTTTTTGCATGAAATTTCCAAGCAATTGTTTGTCCAACGCACTCAAAGCAGCATCATATTTTCTTATCCTTCTAACCAACAGAGAACCGACTTGTTGGATTTCAGGCAAAAATTTCAAAGCATGAAAGTTACATTTGCATCTTAATCTCTGCAACAGATTGGAAAATATATTATCATTAGCCAACGATGTCCTCCTATAAAATGTCTATTTACAAGTAGTCAAGTATAACCTGAAGTTCAGAAGGCAACGGATCAAAGCCTAGTCGATTTCCATATCCGAGGAAGTGAACAACTTTATTTCTCAAGAGAAGAGGAAGTACAGTTCTGATATAATCAACTGGTTTTGCCTCCTTCACAAGATCCGCATCAGTAATCTGCAAAGAGAAATAGGAAATTGGTTACCAGATCGTTTTGGAAATGAATGTAATCATATAGGAGAACGACGTACAAGGCTACCAATTGCTTCAAGGTCTAGTGATTTCAAACGAGGAGGAAGTTCTTTGATAATGTTAACTTCATCCTTCAGTACATCTATAAAATAATTTTCTTGGTAAATATCACCGAATTGACTGCAGTGACAAGGAACAAACCGAACTCAGTACTCCAAACAAATCAACAAATCTATGCATCAATAATCATTTTAAATTGCACCATCCAATATAAGTTTTTAATCATATTTAAAGATGATCAGATAATTATCTCAAACCTCGGATCGTTCCATACATTGCTGTAAAGAAATCTTGGAAGAACAAGAGTAGCATTAAGAAGAGATGCCACAGCAACAGCATTGCAAATCTGTAATCATCATAAGAAGAATACGTACCGATAAGTTCAACTGAAGCACTCATCTAATTAATGAACAACCATCTTGTTAATTTTATACACGCATGGAAGACTTACAGCAACTCGTTGTTGATTGAGACCGCCATTTGCACTGACTATTATGTAGCCATTACTTTTCTTGTATTTCCCTGAGAGGGTAGATCACAAACTAAATGACTAACAGGAAAAGGGTTTTTATCATAGAAAACGAACTTGCAATAAATAAATAAAAAATACCTAGGCTCGTCAAAACTTTCCTGTCTGCACAAGGTTTCCATGCAGCAGCCTGCTTATATGGTTCTTCCCATAAAGTCGACGACTCTGGCTTTAACTCTTTCTAAAGCAAAAGATTTACGTGAGTAAAAAGAAATGTTCAGTAAGAAAATTTAACAAGCTTATCCGAGTCAAAATATCGCAAGTTATGAAGAAAACCTCTTCAATGGCACCTTTCGCCAACTTTAGAAGCCGGTCATACATGTGTACTGGTGATTTGTCTTTCATAACGTAGGGGACCCTGTTCTCCTTTGGAAAATAATTGAGTAAATATTACAGACGTTATGAACAATAATAAGGGATGACTTAAAAAATTATGGCAAGAATTATGTAAGATCTTTACCTTAAACCCCGGTGGATTACTTACATAAGTTGAACTATTCTGAAGAACCATTGAATCGAAAATGGACACTAGAAAAGAATCAAGCAGAAGAAGGAAACTCATCAACGCAAACACAATGACGATTGATCGCACATCTTTTCGAAGCCACAAATGCTTTTTCCCCGCGAAGCTCCCTTTACAAGTACCATATTTTACAGAATCACTTTTCACAACATGAAGATGGTCATTTTTCAGACCATGAAGGAACAACATTTTGGAATTCAAATGGTTATCTCCTCCTGGCATTCTCCTCCCAACATTAGAAGGATCATAGTCCTTAGTCCCCGACGATAAGTCATCGTCAACCTGCGGCTCAGGGCGTGGACTTCTTGGAGACCCTTGTTTTCCCATTGGACTGATCTTTCAGCAATGCTTCAACATAAGAAGTACATAATTTTCTTCACCATCTCTAGTTTCCGAAACGGACAAGAAGTTTTGGCAAATAAAACCAAGAGGGAAAAACACTTGTAGCAACCCACACAGGAAACAACTGCATAAACTTGCATTTGCACCGACACCCTCTAAATCTATGATATTTTTGTTCTCCAAAATCGATCCACCAACCAATTAGACCATGTAACGAAAATACAGGTTTGGTGGCACTATCTGACATCAAGGGGTGAGAAAAATATATGCCGGAGCACCATTGAAGTTATGAATTCCAAGTGAAGCTAAGAAGTAGTTGAAAGTGGAACACATAAGCAAGAGTGAAATGCAAGCGAAAAATGAAAACTCAGCAACACCATATTTAACAAACCAAACTTGAAGGCCAAGAATTTTGTAGTTATATACATATTTTGCATACATGTGAATTATAAATATTATGTAGGATGTTGGCGGGGGCCTTTCATTTCAACCAACAAAGCTCAAAATACAGTTAGGAATATGATCCTCTACTAGAATGTAATTTGCTGATTTGGGCTTATTTATGATTGGATGAATACTGTATACAGCCCCAAATCAGTTACTTATACAAAATTAAGCTACTGATTATGATTAGAGTGGTCCTTTGCACACATTATTTTTTTTGGGTAATGCTAAGGGGACTAACTAAACTTATAGATAAATTTACAAACTAAATGATGTGTCCAATAAGAATGAGCACGTTTTATGCTAGGTAAAACAAATTTTTAAACCAAAATTTGCAAACCAAATAATGTGGTTGTTGATGATTGGATTATAACTTAAGTTGATTATCGTGCTTATTTTCTATTGGTGACACATTATTTGATTTTCAAATTTGGTTTAAAAATTTAGTCTCCCTAGCATTACTTTTTTTTAACATCCACAATTAAATTTGCATGGTTCACTAGACACCTTTATTTATAATATTCCTAAACTATCTCTGCTCAAAAATAGAGAAAAATAATTGGCACAACCATCTCAATCGTGAATCCAACTCACCCCCCTGCACACCCTTTCTTCTTCTTCTTCTTCTTCCCCACCCTTCCTCATTCTTCTCCAAAAACAACAAATCTTAGTCCCCATCCATTCCAGAGCCCATCACTCTCATCTGTACTGTCAAAATTGATATGGCGAAAGCTATGGAGACCCGTTGCACAGAGAAATTAGAGAAACAATGGCTTTTCTTCTTTTATTGTAAGCTCCAGCACCACTCAAGGTGGCTAGAAAATGGTTGTTCGAATATCCACTAATTTGAAGGTGGGAGGAGGATCAGTCACCATTAGTTCGGTGAGGATTTAAAAAAGTGAGAAGAGAGAGCGGATACAGGGTATGGGTGGTTGTGCACCCACTAGAGAGAGTTGGGTGGAGGCTGCAGCACCCTAATCCGAAACCTAACCATTTGAATTATCCCTAAAATTTAGTTGGGTGGTTTAGTAACTTTAACAATGGGATACAATGGTCACTAAATATATATATATATATATATATATATATTGTGTGACTGTCCAAAGATAAAAAAAAAAGGTGAATAATGAACCACTCTTACAAAAAAAATTGGAAAAAATAAAGTATAATTAAGAAGTAAATTCTTTTTGCATACTTTTTTTTAAATTTATTATTATTAAGGGAAGAGACAAATATTCGAAACTATTATACTAATTTAAAGATGGCGAGTTTTGAACCTGAGACGCATCGGTCCATCAAAACAATACTAGCAGCCTTAATAAAAAAAAGATAAAATTTAAGAAAAAGTAAAGTATAATTAAGAAGTGAACTCTTTTTGCACACTTTAAAAAAAATTATTATTAAGGAAAGAGAGGAATGTTAGAAACTATTATAATAATTTAGAGATGACGAGTTTCGAACTTGAGACACATGGGTCCATCAAAACCATACTAGCAGCCTCAATAAAAAAAAAGAAAAAGAAAGATAGATCATACATAGACACAGCTGCATTTACTTCAATCTGTTGAAAAGTTTGGCTTCCCTGTCCTCCTACACAACAACATAAGTAACACTCAGTAATTTAATGATGATAGTAATGTAAAACAAGTGAATCTTAATACATAAGAATAGACACCTCCAACAGTATACAACACTGCAGACTACCTCATGCAACAGCCTTCAAAAGCTTTATCTTGATTTTATTGAGGGTGACAACAACATCTTGTATGTTTATCCTCTCTTGCGGTGACTCCGCAGAACACGCCAAGGCCAATCTCATAAGGGATGACAAACAATCTCTCTTGACCACAAATATATCACCATCATCCTCTATACCAAGTAAAGTGACATCCAGAACTTCTGTTATTCCATCTTCTGGTAATGAATTTGCAATCCATTCCTTTAAATTAATTTCCCCAGCAAACATTTCATCCGTTGGCTTCCTTTTCGTGAATATTTCCATCATTACAATACCAAAACTGTACACATCCCCTCTTGTCGAAACAATTCCTTCCACTCCGTACTCTGGAAGCAAAATTACAAATTAAACTTCATCATACACATACAAATATAAAATTGAAAGATAAATTATGTATTTAGCAAGATCACCTGGAGCCATATACCCAATTGTGGCTAGGGTCAACGTCTGAGTCACAGAATCTCCTCCTCCCAAAAGTTTTGCGATCCCAAAATCAGCTACACGTGCAACCATGTCATCATTTAGGAGTATGTTGCTTGGCTTCAAATCACAATGAACAATAGGTAATTGATAGCCATGGTGAAGGTATTCCAATGCCGATGCAACATGTATCATTATATTCAACCTCTCAAGGACACTCAAAGAACATGTTGAAGAGTACAACCACTTCTCTAAGCTCCCGTTAGGCATGTATTCCAGTACCACGGCTTTGAAATCAATTTGGGAGCAGCAACTAATGATTTTGAGAAGATTTCGATGACGTGTATTGCTTAGCATTTCACATTCCTTGTCAAAACTCTTGAAACCCCCTTCTACTTGTAAATTGAAGACCTTTACTGCAACATCTATCCCATCTGAAAGTGTCCCTCTATATACTGTGCTAAAACCCCCTGTACCAAGTAAGTTGTTTGCACTAAATCCATTTGTCCCCCTTAGAAGTTCTAGGTATGAAACTCTTCTGCAGAGAAGTAGAGGTACCAACGCAGTATTTGTTGCAACTATAGCATTCCCCCTTTTCCTCCGTAGTATCAACATCGATATAAAGGCCAATAGGAGTATTGCTGATATGATCCCTGGAATTATATATTTCAGGGTGGATATACTAGCTTTCCTTGAATGTGGTTGAGAGGCTGTACTATTTTTGCAGGGTGGAACACGGAGTCGGGATTCACCACAGAGTGGACCATTCGGGACAAATGATTGAGCTGAGAGGTTTTGAAAAGGTCCACCTGTAGGAATTTCACCTTGGAGTGTGTTGAAAGACAAATTCAGATACTTGAGATGAATGAGTGCTTCAAGAGACTTTGGAATTACTCCGGAAAGATTGTTTTTGGATAGATCCAAGAGTTCCAGGCTTAGCAAGTTTCCAAATGAACTGGGGATTTGACCTTCTAAATTATTATATTCCAAGGAGAGACTAACCAAATCCTGGAGTCCACTCATACTGCTTGGTATAGCACCATATAAATGGTTATTTGATAAATTCACTTCTGTCACAACTTTCAGTTTTCCAACATCTTCTGAGAGAGGACCAACGAGTGAATTGGATGACAAGTCTAGGATCAATATATATGTAAGCTTCCATAAGGTAGATGGTATTGTGGAAGTTAACAAATTGGACTCTAATGATATCTTTCTAAATTTTGCAGTTAGATTACCTAGGCAGGAAGGTACGGAACCAGAGAGTTGATTACCACTGATATTCAATTCAACTAGGTTGTCCAGTTGGCAAAGTTCATCTGGGATGTATCCTTGCAACTTGTTATCATGCAAACTGAGACCCTGGAGATTCCTTAGTCTTCCCACAGAAGTTGGAATTGACCCACTCAATTGATTGGATCCCATCGTTAAGGATATCAAGCCACTGAAGTTTCCAATATCATTGGGAAAGCTACCCCTCAAATTGCAAAATCCTAAATGAAGATAGTCAAGCGACGTAGAGAAATTTCCAAGGGAAGCAGGAAGAGTGGCATTTAATGGATTGTTAGACAAGTAGAGTCCCCAAAGATTTCGAAGATTATCCAAACAAGAAAGGATGTTTACTTCTAGGGTTGAAGTATCAATCGTTAAATTGTTTGTGTAAGCTAAGGTACTCAAGGTTTGTTAAGGCACATAAATTGTTAGGAATAAACCCAGAAAATGAGTTTGAAGACATGTCTAGCCTCGTGAGCTTAGAGCCATTGGAGATAAAGTTGGGGATTCGTCCACTGAGATTATTCATTCCAACAAACATGAATTCTAGGTTTGGAACTCCAATGGCTATGTCTGTTGGAAGACTTCCTGAGAGTTGATTATCAACAAGTGAAATTCGTCTCAACATGGACATATTGAAGATTTTGCGTGGGATAGGACCATTAAGATTATTAAAATCGAGTTGTAAAATTTGTAAATTTTGAAGATCACCAATCTCATCTGGTATCGTACCTGCCATAATTAATATTACCGTCCAAGTTAGTTTAATAGCCTTAGCATTCTTAAATACATCATATTATTCAATAGTTTCACAGAATCTTTAAAGAGAAAATAAATATTCAAAAAGGAAAACTTTTTGAGGAAATGGGTTGCAAAGAAGATGGAGGGATACGCCAGTAAGCTAAGCAAAACATTTGGTTTGTATTATTTAGTTGCTGTGAGAATATCTTTTAATTTTCTAACTTAGACATCAATTTATTCTTTAGATTATGGTCAATTTGATAATCATTTTGTTTTTTGTTTTATTTTTATTTGTGTTGAGTCTAGAAATAGGGAAATATATATATACATGTGAGAAATGAGAGATAAAGAAGAGTAGATGGTATTAGAGGTGCACAAGACTATTCAAGATTTTCTTTTCATTTATCCGTTTTTTATTATATCTCCACTCTCCCACCACCCTTCATTTGTCATCTCCCTCATATTTTTCTCTATCAACAAATAAAAAAACAAAAACAAAAACAAAAAGCGAACGATTATAAAACGGTTCCTTATTGTTGAACATATTGACTTCAATATATAGAATGCTTTACAATATTCTCCTCAAGTTATGTCAGCAATTTCTTTTTTTAACAAAAGATTGGTGAGACTTCAAAATTATGTAGTTAGTTTTATCTGTTAATTATACCATGTTAATATTTTGAACGATTTATTTATCTATCACCCCATATTTAAATTAAGAAATAATCATGATCAAAACAAACATAAGAAGGGGTCGAATTCAAAAATCTCATTTTACACTTCTCACAAATATTTTTTTTTCTTTCTAATTATAGAAAGTTTTGAGTGCAAAATGAAATATTTGGAGTGTCAAAAGCAATTCTCGAGCCAATAAGAAGGGATCGATTTATGATAAAAGTGAGTCAAAAAACAAGGATCGCTCTCTACTCATGTTATTGGCAACAACCGAGGCTAAGGCTGAAGCCAAACTAGAACCAAAAGAAATTGAAGAGAGTTCTGAACCTCTTCTCAAATACAAGGTAATATATAAGTAGAGTTGGGATGAGTTGGCGGTACCTGTCAAGTGATTGTTGCTTAATAAGAGCGTAAGAAGCTCTTTGCATTGCCATAATTTGGATGGAAGTGGACCATCAAAATTGTTGCCAGCCAAACTCAAGATCTGAATACTTGGAAGATGTTGACATAAATTGTCTGGAATACGACCAGTCATTTTGTTAACTGATAGAGCCAAAATTTTCAAAGACGACATGTTGAAGACAGACAACGGAAGAGGCCCCTTTAGGGCATTAAATTGCACATACAACTTCTCCACTTGATCTTTACTGCCAATCAAGTTTGGGATTTCTGAAAAATCAACAAAATATGTGTTAAAATCATCATCTGGCCATTCTGATAGGGATTTTGTTAACGTAGAGGAAGGATAAACCCGAGTTTGTCCTACCTTCGAACATGTTATTGTCAAGGTATACCGTCTTGAGCATAGTTAGGTTCCCGATTTCTCTTGGTATGATACGTGTTAATTAAATAAAATATGTGCATCCCCGTAGTTAGGAACCAATAGAGTAATTAAGATAAATATTCAGTGCAACAAGTTCAGCGGCTTGAATCATACCTTTGAAATTGTTTTGTCCAAGTACTATCTCCTTCAGCATTGTTAACTTCTCGACTTCTTTTGGTATGCTACCTATCAAAATTTTGGAATTGTATAAAATTAAAAGACCAGAAAGATAACTATTAAGACAGATGCTAAATCATCTAAACCAGTCACTAGTTTGTTATAACAGTAAACAGTTGGTTGTGGTAATTGTGTAATTAATTGTGTAATTTGAATTGTCATAATTATTCAATCAATGAAAAACAATCCTTTACAGAGAATCTAAGTTTCTTTATGGTATCTTGCCATCTGGCTCACGGCGTTGATCCTCTTTTGCTCACCGACTTGATTTCTTGATCAATTTCTCCTTTTCTCCATCGCTTTTTGTCTTCGATTCGTGATTGCTTCTCCTTTATCTCAAATCTTGCCTCTGTATGTCATGGCCTCCCCTCTGAATCATCATCTTCGATTAACTCACCACCATTACCAAATCCTAATTCCTCTGGAAATTCTCAACCTCATATTTCGTATATGTCTCTTACGATCCAGAACCGGTAGCATGGTGCCAATCAAACTCAAGCGCACCAATTATCTACCATGGCATGCGTTATTTGCCCCGATCCTGCACCGATACAAACTTCTTGGCCTTATTGATGGCACCGAGCCATGTCCGGCTCCACTTCTCCCTGATCAATCTCTGAATCTAGCTTTTGAGTAGTGGTTTGAAAAAGATCAAAATCTTTTGATCTGGCTGAATTCGACGCTCTATGAATACCTAATTCCCTTCATGGTCGGTGTATCAACATCTTGATAGCTATGGCAGAAACTTGAACAACATTTTGGTGGAGTTTCTGATACTCATATCCACCAGCTTCGTTCTCGTCTTCAGTCAATTCTTAAAGGCTCTCAATCGACCTCAGAATATCTCCAACGAATCAAGGAAATTTTGGATTCTCTCACCATTGTTGGTGCACCTATGTCCAATCGTGACCTAATTGCAGCAACACTTCATGGTCTCCCTGATGAATTCGAGTCGTTCATTGACTCCATCATGCTTTGGTTGTCCTTAACTTCTCTTGATAAATTGCATGGTCTGTTGCTCAACAAAGAAATTTCCATAGCTCATTGCAAGCAAATAGTTTCTTCCTTTGCCACTGAGCCATTTCAGGCCTTTTTTTTCCAGTCTCAAGCACCGTTGCTGCCGACGCCTTCTCCACTGTTCTTTGCTGCATACAATCAGCCTCTTTAGTCTTTTTTTCATTATCATTCTAATCGAGGAAGACATAATCGCAATTCCAACATAAGGAATCACAATTACAATACCAATCGTGGCAATTTCACTGGACATAATCGTGGAGGTCAGAATCATTTTACTTATCAAGGCTCTTCATCTGATAGCAAGAACACATGTCAAATCTGTGGTTCTACTAGCCACGAAGCCATTGACTTTTGACATGATGAATCCTGAGATCTTTGGAAGGGTACCACTAGCCAAACCCGCTGCTTTGTGTGCTCATTCCTCATCCAAACCCTCTCCATCTTGGCTATTGAACTCTGGAGCTACATCATATATCACAAATGACATTGCCAATCTCTCCGTTTCCTCTCCCTACTCTGGTGAAGACAAAGTTTAAGTAGGAGATGGTAAAGGTCTATCTATTCATAATTTTGGTTCCTCTTCTTTCAATACATCTCATACTTCCTTTAATTTGAGCAATGTATTGCATGTCCCTGATATGAAACACAATTTACTGTCTGCTTACCAATTTCTCAAAGACAATAATTGTGCTTTGACACTTGATCCTGATGGATCCACTGTAAAGGATCGTGTTTCGTGGAAGATGCTTTTGTCGGGACAAGTTAAAGATGGGTTGTATCCACTTCAAAGATCCAGTCATCACATTACTTCATCACCATCAGCTCTAATAAGTGTCAAAGCTCCTGTGAAGATTGGGTCATCCATCTTCTTCTCTCTTTCGAAAGGTTATTTCCAGCAATAAACTTGCAATGCAAGGCAAGACTACTGTTGATTTTTTCTGTTCAAACTGTGCTCTAACTAAAAATCACAAGCTACCCTTTGGATCTGCTAACTCTACAACCATTCACAGCTTACAATTGCTTCACTGTGATCTTTGAGGTCCTGCCTCCATTACTTCACCTAGTGGTTTCAAATACTACTTGTTGCTAGTTGATGATTATAGTAGATATAGTTGGCTATTTCCATTAAAGGGAAAGTATGATGTCTATTCAAACATTATGTAGAAAATTTACTTGGCAATAAAATCAAGATTGTGCGTTCATATTCAGGGGGTGAATTCATTGGTACGGGTGAATTCATTGGTACTATGTTCAATCATTTTATTCATAATCATGGTATTCTTCATCAATTAAGTTGTTCCCACACTCCTGAACAGAATGGTTGTACTGAAAGAAAGCACAGACACCTTGTAGAGACTGCCATAACCTTACTTGTTGCCTCTAATGCTCCACATCTCTATTGGTGGAGGCGTTCTCCACTGCTATGTATCTTATTAATATGATGCCAATCTCTGGAATATCTCAGTCTCCCTGGGAATTGCTTTTTCACAAGCCACCAAATTATTCTAGACTAAAAGCCTTTGGATGCAGTTGTTTCCCATGGCTCAAATCCTATGTTCATTCCAAGTTGGATGCAAAAAGCAAAAGCTGTGTGTTTTTGGGGTTTAGTTTACAACACAAGGGTTATAGATGTCTTGACCCAATAACTAGCAGAATCTATATTTCCAAACTAGTACAATTTGATGAAATACATTCATTTTCAATCTCTTCCTAATGGCACTGTTTCACTTCCAGAATAAGTTCCAACCCCTATGGATCTTCAGTTCTCTGTTCCAATTTTAAGATTAAATTCTGATTCTACCTCTTCAAGTTCTCTCATTGGGAATACTCAAGATCATGATTCTACAAATTCTGCACCACATTCAGGTTCTGTACCACACTCAGGTTCTACAACTTATGCACCACTTCCTTCAAGTAACACATCTATAACACTGCCTCCTGGTAATACTCATCCCATGATCACTCATTCCAAAGCTGGTATCCATAAGCCTAAAGTATATGTAGCTACCAAGCATCCACTTCTATTAGATATTGATTTTGTCCCAACTACATACATGTAAGCATCTAAACATGCTCACTGGAGATCTGTCATGCAAGATGGATTCAATGCCTTGCAATCAACAGGTACTTGGACCTTAGTTCCTCCATCTTCCTCCCACAATGTTGTTGGCTGCAAGTGGGTTTTTAGAATAAAGAAAAAACCTATTGGTACTGTTGAATTAGTTGCAAAGGGATATCACCAGCAATAAGGCATTAATTTTCAAGAGACTTTCAGTCATGTTGCTAAACCAGTCATAATTAGAGTTCTTTTATCACTTGCAGTGCAGTTTAATTGGTTTTTTAATCAATTAGGCATAAGTAATGTGTTTCTTCATGGGGATTTAAAAGAAGATGTGTATATGCAACAACCCTCAGGTTTCACTGATCCCAGTATGCTAAATCATGTTTGCAAATTAAGGAAATCCCTCTATGGCTTCAAACATGCACCTTAAGCTTGGTTTGAAAAACTTTGTCAAGCTCTCCTTCAATTTGGATTTGTGCAATCTTCCTCAAATGCCTCATTGTTTGTTTTCAAAGGTCCTTCTCTAATCATGGTACTAGTCTATGTTAATGACATATTAGTCACTGACCCTAATTCTTCTTTATGCATTATGTTCATCCAAAAGCTTAGTGATATTTTTCCGGTCAAAGATTTGGGTCCATTGCACTACTTTTTGGGATTAGAGGTTCAACGATCTTCTGCAGGCATCTTCCTACATCAAACTAAGTATTTACTGGATCTTATTAGGAAAACCAATATGGATGGTGTTAAGCCTTGTTATACTCCACTTGGCTCTAAGAAACCTGATCACACATGCCCTCTTTTGTCCAATCTAACAGAGTATAGGTCCATTGTTGGTGGTTTACAGTATTTGACATGGACACGCCCAAATCTTTCCTTTGCAGTTAATCAAATCTATCAGTTTATGCATGCTCCTCGAGAACAACACATGCAAGCTGCAAAAAGGGTTCTTCGATATCTCAAAGGCATTGTATCTTAAGGATTTTAGTTCAAAAAAGGTGCTACTACTCTCACAGCCTTCTCGGACGCTGACTGAGCTGGATATACCTTTAACCATCGCTCCACTAGTGGTTATTGTGTCTTTCTGGGATCCAACCTTATCAGTTGGAGTACCAAGAAACAATCCACTATTGCAAGGTCATCTACTGAAGCTGAATACCGTTATCTAGCACACACAGCTAGGGGTGGGTTCGGTACGGTTACCGTACCAAAACCCTTGTACCAATTACCGTACCAAACTTTCGGTTTGATAAAATCTATTACCATTACCGTACCAAACTTTCGGTATACCGAAATTCGGTATTGCCAAAAGTTTGGTTGGCATGGTATGGCAATGGTAATTGCCATTTTGTTTTGGGACAAAATATGTTTTTGTTTTTTTAACCCAATTCAAGGGCAAAACTTTTTTTTTTGTACCTTTATCTCATACATTATAGATTAAATTCATCTATTATTCATCATTCACAATTCACACACATAATAATTCAAATGAAGCATCAAGATTCATCATGAAAATTAAGCTTACAATCCAAATAGAAGTTACGAACCAAAACAAATAGAAATTAACAATCCAAATAGAAATTAAAGTTTCAAACCAAATGAAAATTGGAAGTAAACTTCAAAAAAGAGAATTCATTGATCAGTTATTCAAGCTTGAGATGTCGAAGCTTTTGGAGGAGGCATTGAACTTGTAGAAGATTGAGTTTGTGTCAAGCTTACATTACAAACAAAGAAAACATATTAATTAGTAGCAAGAAGAATTAAAGTTGAAAACCATTTAATAACAAATTTACTAAAAAAATTAAAGCATATCTTTCTTGTTTTCTCTTCTTCTATTTCCTTGTAAAATTGAAGCATATCTTCCGTTGGTCCTTGTAGAAGTTTACTTCACCTGCCCTAAGTCAACCACTAGTACACACTAGTGCCTCAATTATTTTAGGAGTCAAGAATACCCTAAAAGGGTTCACAACCCTCCTCCCTAGACTAAATGCATTTTCACTAGCAAAAGTAGAAGTGGGGGTTACAAAGATATTTTGGCTATTTGTGAAAGAATTAGGAACTCTTTTGTGTTTGATTTCCACAATTTTAAGAGATCAAAATCACCAACAACAATGCTAATATAAGTAGGGTTTTATTTTCAAATTATTGGAATATTATAAATATGTGTTATATAATTATGTATTATATAAATTATAAATTATATTGTATTTTCGGTATGGTATGGTAATACCGTGGTAATGGTATCCATTACCAATACCGTACCATGAAATTTCGGTACGGTACAATACCGTACCATTACCAATTGGTACAAAAAATTTGGCAAAAAATCGTATGGCACGGTTGGCAATTCGGTTGGCACGGCAATTTGGCAAAAAAATCCATCCCTACACACAGCTGCTGAACTAACTTGGATATGCAAAATCTTTCGTGACATTGGTTTCCCACTCTCTCAGGTTCCTAACCTATGGTGTGACAACATTTCGGCCATCTCACTTGCTTCAAATCCGGTGTTTCATGCCAGAACCAAACAAGTTGAAATCAACTATTATTATATCCGAGAGTTGGTCCTGGCTTATCTCATCAAAGTTCAATTTGTTTGCAATCAAGATCAGTCGGTTGATATTCACACCAAATCTTTTCTAAAAGCTATCTCAAATCCAAGCTTCCTCTTGGTTCATCAGTTGATCCCAAGCTCAGCTTGAGGGGGTGTATTAAGACAGATGCTAAATCATCTAAATCAATCACTAGTTTGTTATAACAATAAACAATTAGTTGTGGTAATTGTGTAATTAGTTGTAGAAGTTAAGGGCGCTAGTGTAATGAGACTGTGGCTATATATATATATATATATATATATCTTTGTACTGTCATAATTAATCAATCAATGAAAAACAATCCTTTACAGAGAATCTAAGTTTCTTTAATAACATGGTGTTAAAAGTTAAGTAATGATCACCAGTTTGGTAATTGGCAAGTATGTACGTACCGGATAGCTGGTTGTTTCTTAGATCAAGTACTTGCAGTGCAGATAAGTTGAATATATCATTTGGTATGGAACCTGAAAATTGATTACCATACAAATCGAAGGTTTGAAGTTCAGATAAGGACCCGAACCATGATGGAATGATTCCTGCAAAGTTGTTGAAGCTGAAACTAATCAACTTCAACCTGCGAAGATGAGACAATTCCGAGGGCAACGTACCACCAAAACTGTTGTTTCTGAATTCCAGCTGAACAAGAAATGAGAGATTGCCCAGGTGAGGAGGAATGGTGCCTGTGAGACCCATGTAAGAAAGATTCAAGGCTGTGACTCTAAGGTTGCGTACACCACAAGTAACGCCAACCCAGTTGCAAATATTGGAATCGGAGGTAGACCAGTTGGTCGTCAAGATGTTTTCAGGGTCACTAGTGATATGGGCTTTGAGAGCACGAAGAGCTGATTCATCTGTGCTGATGTTGGTTTGAGCTGCTACTGCGCCTATTGTTAACTTAGGCATATACACACAGCAGTTCTGGACCAGCAACAATGTTAAGGACAAGAGGAAACGAGTTCTCGCCATTTTGTGCAGGCCGCCGGCGATGTAAAAAATGTGATATTGCAGTCTGCAGAAAACAATTTCTGAAAACCAAGAAGACAGAAGTGACGAAAATTTCGAAGTTATTTAGTTTTTTGTTTTCCTTTCTTAAAACTTGAATGAGTTGATTAAGAGTTAAGACTGCCAAAAAGAAAATAATTTATTGCTTTCGGTGGCAGAAAATTCAATGATGGGATTCCATTCATTTGACTTCGGAGCAAGAGAAAAGCAGAAGAGGTTGCCTTTTGTTGAAGGCAAGAGACGGAAACAAGAAGAAAAGAAGGAAAAAAGATGAAGTTGTTGAAATGTGGAAAAAGAAAAGAAAAAAAGAATTGAAATCTGTTGATGGAAAAAGAAAAGAAAAAAAATTGGAGGAAAGGTTTCTGGCGTGGAAAAAAGAAAAGAATAAAAAAAAGAATGATTCTGGCACCATACGGAAACAAGAAGAAAAGAAAGAAAAACATTCTCACAGGTAATAATTTACATATCTCTGCCAAAGACTCATTTATTGACAATGTGTTTACCAACATTTTTTTTAACATTCTAAAGAAATCTTACAAAGCTAATTGTCAAATTGCAAGATATTTTGAAATACCTTACCGCAGTACAACTTTTTGGAAAAAAAAATGGTTGCCAATGAAAGATTTGCGGCCAAAAGTTAAATTTGTATTGAAAATATGAGGTACAAAGTATAATAAAGCATATATAAAAGGTTAATTACCTATTTTTTTAACATTTTTTAAGATCTTACAAATTTTTTCCTACATCTATGCATTTGTTTCTCTCAGTTCACAATTTAGCAGAATAAAAGTATATTTCTGTTTACTATAAGATGTGTGATGAGTTCATATTATACCATATATTTTACATTAATCTTAGAATCAATTTATTGATTATTTTGGTAGAATTTTAATACTTTATTATATATTTCAATGTAGGACATTCGACTTCTTATAGAGCAAAAAGTGATCAAACGGATGAATTTTGGAGTGATTCCAATTGGAGGATGTTCGTGAGTCTTTCAAGATGATTGTATCAAAGTTTCAGATTTTTCTACTTAGCCGTTTGACCGTGGCGATGAAATAAAGGCCCAGCGCGCAGCTTTCCCAAATTGATGTTTCTGGACGTTTTAGGTATTTTGGAGGTCAAGATGGCATATTTTGAGAAGATTCCTTCTGAGTATTTGTAGGGGATATCTTCAGCTTTCAAAAGAGACCTTTTGGGACCAAATCGGAGTTGATTTGGTCTGTCAAAAGTCTGATTTTCTGAGAACTCCGAATTCTAGTTCAAATAGGAAAACCTAACCTTCAAATATGCATGTAGATATACGTAGTAGGGCATACTTTAGGAAAACCTAACCTTCAAACATGCATGGGTAATTCATAAGTAATTAGAAGAACTACATAAGATTATTAAGGTGACGGCGAAACCCTAGTGCTCAAATTTATTTTCAAAACGTTTTCTTGTGTTTTCTTTACTTTGTCAATTTATATAATCGTTTTAATTTAAAATTCGTTTTTAATATTTTAAGTCATAAAATCAACTTTTTCCAAACTTTGTTTTCAAATAGTTAATTAAGAATTAGTTTAAATACAAATTATTCATTCAATCCCTGTGAAAAACGATCTTGCTTGAGCCGTTTATACTACAACTACCTTGTTCTCTTGCAAGTATTTTTAAATGTTTTTATCCCTACTTTTGCAGGTGATAAAAATCCCTATCAATGTGAATTCTAACCTTCATTCATACGTGCAGGGTAAGAATTGTGGTAGAAGAGTTTATTATGATTAGCTTAGAGGAAAATATGAGATTAGCAATTTGAAAAGTCTACTTTCTCCTCGTATGTTTGCTTTAACATGTGTAAGTTGTAATTATTATTTTTCTCTTCATAGCATACTTAAATTTGTAGATCAGCATATATTTGTTTTTGACATTTCTTATTAAATGTATTTGAAAACTAACTGAAAAAAATATCCAATTTTTTAGCAATTACTAAAAATCACCTCAATAATTACAGTTTTATTCCAATTTCTAAGTAAGGGGAAAAAAAACTCTGAAGTTTCAACGAAGAGAGTCGGAAGTTCTAAATAGTATATTTGTGTAAATATGATTGTAAATATGGATGTACATATATATGTAAATAGAGATGTAAACATTTGTTGTAAACTGAAATAAAAAAGAACGAAGTTACCCGAAAGATATAGAAGCCTTGAGTGGTGAATAATTCTTGGGATGAGTCACGGACTAAGTCGCTCTCTTTAAGACGTTTCGCGACTCTGCCTAAATGTGCAAGCAGTTCACAAACACCACATCGTTCCCAGGATAAAACAGCCCAGAACATTCTTCTTCTGATAAAGTTCTTCTTTGCACAGTGGAAGAACCTTCGAACTCACACCCTCTCAAAATGTTGCTTACCAAAACTATGTAACAGAAAATATATATATTTTTCGTATCTTCCAATGATTCCAGGGACTGCTATATATACATTTAGAATAAAGAGACTTTGAAGGTTTGAGAGAAATGAAAGCAGGACAAAATCAAAACGTAAGTCAAATAAAACGGTTTTATCGTGTATCATGTCAGAATTTTCTTCTCTATTCAGAGAAGTAATGGCGCCTTTCAAACTTAAAAAGAGATAACTTCTTATCTAATTGAAATGTCAATGTCATGTTTCAACTTAAAAAGCTGTAAACTCCTTATCTCATTGAAATGCGAAAATCAATTGGCTATTATGCATAGAATAATGATAATAAACAAAACGTTATATATATAATATTGGTAATAAAACAAAACATAAATATATTTAAATATTTAAATAAAAACATATTTACTTCAACAATCCCCCACTTGTTTTTGTTTAAAACTATATATCAAGCAACATATCATAAAGCTATGTAAAAGTGTCTCTCAACTTGAACGTGTACATAGTGTTAGTGATCCAGATTATACTAGAGTAACTCATAGTTTTGAATTCTATCTCTGACAACACCACACACATAACTTTATGAAGGTGAAGTTCAAAAAGCCAGCACACTATGGACATGTGCTTGTATCCCAGTATAGTGAACGCTCTAGAAACTTGCCCAAGATTTCATGGAAAGCGGTCTTACTTCCACATTCACATAGGTAAGACTATCAAAGATATTCCTGTAGCTAGATATCCCACTTAACATAGAGTATAGACCTTACTAAGAGAAAAAAAATCTCAACCTAAAACCGCTTCAGGATGTCATGCTTCTTAGGGATGGACATGGAATAATATTCCAAATTAAAATTAGCAAGAATTCACTCATATCACTTGTGACTTGTTATTAACCTTTGAACCTATTTCTTGGGTTCTCCAGTCTATAGGTTGGGTTGCTATCACAAATGACTCAATTTTCTAAGGGCTTTAGTCTCATCCCTTTCAAGGTTTTCCAAACCTTTTCTCACGCTAGTCCTTTCATCAGAGGATCAACCAAGTTTTCTTCAGACCTTATATGATTCATTCTTACAGCTCAATTAGAGAGGTAATCTCTTACAGTGCTGTGCTTACGACGTATTTGTCACATTTTCCCATAAGCACTTTAGCTATTGCCGATGTGCTATCACAATGAATCAAAACTGTGGAATCGGTTTCTTCCATAAAGGGGTATCTGATTGTAGGTTCATAATTTGTAGAAGAATTAGAACCCCCACTATTTCAAAAATTAAAAGGAAATTTATTCTCATAAAAATTATCATCAAGTGACTAAATTATGACATTTTATCAACATTCAATTTAAACATTCCATCACTAGCATATCCCTTTCCCACAAAAATCCCATTTTTAGTAAGAATATACGTATCTACTCCAATGGTTTGAGTAAATCCAGCCTTATTGAAAAGAAAGCCCGAGACCAAATTCTTCCTTATCGCTGGAGCGTGCATCACATCTTTCAGTATCATGGTTTTTCCAGAGGTGAACACCAGCTCCACCTCTCCAGTACCAACAACATCAGTTGAGTGCGAATCACCCAATAACACCTTATTGGAGGATGTTCGTGAGTCTTTCAAGATGATTGTATCAAAGTTTGAGATTTTTCTACTTAGCCGTTTGACCGTGGTAATGAAATAAAGGATCAGCATGCAGCTTTCCCAAATTGACGTTTCTGGACGTTTTGGGCATTTTGGAGGTCAAGATATCTTGAGAAGATTCCTTCTGAGGATTTGTAGAGGACGTCTTTAGCTTTCAAAAGAGACCTTTGGGACCAAATTGGAGTTGATTTGGTCGGTCAAAAGTCTGATTTTCTGAGAACTCCGAATTCTAGTTCAAATAGGAAAACCTAACCTTCAAATATGCATGTGAGATATATGTTCTATATTGGAGGTTCCAAGTAGGGCATACTTTAGGAAAACCTAACCTTCAAATATGCATGGGTAATTCATAAGTAATTGGAAGAACTACGTAGGATTGTTCAGGTGACGGCGGAACCCTAGTGCTCAAATTTATTTTCAAAACGTTTCTTGTGTTTTCTTTACTTTGTCAATTTATTTAATTGTTTTAATTTAAAATTCGTTTTTAATATTTTAAGTCATAAAATCACCTTTTTCCAGACTTTGTTTTCAAATAGTTAATTAAGAATTAGTTTAAATACAAATTATTCATTCAATACTTGCGGAAAACGATCTTGCTTGAGCCGTTTATACTACAACTACCTTGTTCTCTTGTAAGTATTTTTAAGTGTTTTTATCCCTACTTTTGCATGTGGTAAAAATCCCTATCAATGTGAATTCTAACCTTCATTCATACGTGCAGGGTAAGAATTGTGGTAGAAGAGTTTATTGTGGTTAGCTTAGAGGAAAATGTGAGATTAGCAATTTGAAAAGTCTACTTTCTCCTCGTATGTTTGCTTTAACATGTGTAAGTTGTAATTATTATTTTTCTCTTCATGGCATACTTAATTTGTAGATCAGCATATATTTGTTTTTGACATTTCTTATTAAATGTATTTGAAAACTAACTG